GCGCCGAACTTACCTGCCCGGCCCTCCACACCACTCCGCGGCCGCCCTGCGAAGTCCGAGAGCTCCGCCGAGGCGCGCAACTCCAGCTCTCACTGCGGGAATGCCCCCGCAGTCCCTAAAGAAGGCCCCGCCCCGGCTCGGTTTGCCCCGCCCCATACGATTCCTATTGGCTCACATTCCCACCCTCGCTCTTTGCACGACCAGACTCCGCCCTAGCAGGTTTCCATTGGCTAGCGTTCCCATCCCTCACGCTCCGCCTGCCCTCGGCACCGCCCAGGACCCGCGTGAACGCTGGAACCTCCCGACGTTGAGTGTCCACTCTCTGGGCACAGCCTAGTCCTCGGCCCTGCTCGCCTCCAGGCTGCGGACCCGGCAGGCAGGAGATCCGCGCCGCAGCTGTCCGTCCGAGGCTTCGAGCCAGGGCTGCCAGGACCTCGCCTTGCCTGCGGTCAGACCGGCCCAGTGCGACGGAACTGAATTCTACGTGACGTTTGACGCATCTCAGCCACCAGCGACTAAAGCCGGGTTTCATCAAGGAATCCAACTGGCACCTCTTTCAGAGAAACTAGAATTGTCGCCTGCCACCGTGCTCAGCAGGCCTGCGGTCTTTAATATCAAAAAGTAGCACTTTGGCCGAGCGCAAGGGGCAAATATTTCTAGAGCAACTGCAGTTAAGCTTCCGACTTGAATCTCGGGGAGATGCAAACTGGCAGGCAGAGCGGAGCTGCCCTGATCCTCGCTCGCGGGGCCCGGGGTGGCCGCCACGCCTAGCTGAAACGCACGTATGCAGAACTCGCCTGCAACACCCTCTTGCTCATGGCTCTGTGCCTGCAGCGAGCGTAGCCCAGTTTCACCTAAACCGCGAGACAGGGATGAGTGGAGCCTGTTTCCCGGGCGCTGGCTCGCCAACCCCCCGCCCCATTCCACCCACCACCCCGCCCTGCCTCACCCAGCCAGAGCCTCTCGACCTCCCACATTTGTTCTCACGGAGATACCAAAATAGAAGATTGCGAGAAAGGACTGTTTGGTTACACTTCACAGAAGACCGCGTCACAAGCCACCTTCGGCAGAACTATAAAGACGGCGTATCTCAAACCACTGAAACCAAGAGCTATGGACAGTAAAAATAGGAATTGAATTCTCTAATGGGGGTAGAGATGTGACTACAGAACTTTTAAATGTCTCAGTGAGAAAAAATTTGGTTTGTAATAAATTTTGGAGCACTAATCTTTTCTTCATGAAGTACGTTTGTGATTTGTAATACATTCATTGGGGAG